TCAGTAAAAATAAAGCAGCGACGCAACTTCGAAAAAAACGCAAAACGAAACGACGCAAAGCAAGGTATTGGTGTATATACATCGTTTATATATTTTTCACTATTACGTACAAAGTGTATCATTATGCCTTTCAAGAAAAGAACTTTAAAACTTATTTATTCGTATATTAGTTATACATTTGTAGGTAAATAAGTACAAAAGTGAATTTGTACGTGGATCAAGTGTATAAATTGATAAAAGAAAAATCTTTTCATATATTAAAATGTAATTCTATATATTTTCTGCAAAAAATGGTTATAATTCAATAGTTAAAGAAATTTATCTTAAAGATATTTTAGTGTGATTACTATGAGAGAAGTAGCCGAGAAAATCAGCAAAGTTCTCTCACCGCTGTAATTGAAATGTGGCAGCAGCAAATGGAAGCGTCGAACAACAACTGCCTCAGGCTATTCGAGACAAAGTTGGATTTTAAAATTTTGAAATCTGCTACTAGACAAAATTGTATCTTCTCTTTCTATCTCACCCTGTCATTAAAGAGACAATATGTTTCAAAAATGTTTAATAATCTTATAAATTTATTCTGAAAATGTATTATAGGATATACTTGTATATTTATCTAAATATATTTGAGTAGGTAGATTTGTATGTATGGTTCCGGGTTGGCTTTTAAAAATAGTTTAAAAATTTGGCTGGAATTTTGCATTCACGTGTAAAATGGTACAGAGAGTACGATAGGATAATTTTAGGACTTCAATTTTATACTGCCTTGAATTTTATAGAGAGCGCAAGATTCTGTCAAAAATCAATTAAAAGAGTCATCAGATTATGCGATATGCAAGCAAATTCTTCAATCTGCTGCGGCGCGCGCTCTCCTTATAGTATTTCCCATTTATCTTTCATGATAATATTTTAATTATCAAACTCTGGCTTCAAATGATTGGAATGTTTTTGCAGTCAAAATTAACGGTTTCGATTAAAAATGCCAGTGAATCAAATACAAGTTCACATTGTTTCATATTTCTTCAATCTAACAAGCTATTGCTCTATTATTTAAAATGTCTTAATAAAATAAAAAAGGTCGAAATAGCTACATTTCCATAAAAACATAGAACTTAAAAAAATCAATTATTTAATATATATAAGTGAAATACTTTTATAGGGGAATAAGTAAAAATGAGGTTTTTGAAATAATCATATTTTACAATGAAATATTTGACTATATAATATAGCGGCACGTTGTTTGGTGTGACTATATATCCATAAAACACTTAACTGCACTGCTAAATGCATTGTGGTTCACTTTATATAGTCAATGTAAAGCTCTAAAGCAAATTGGAATGTATAAAATGGAAAATACTTTCTCCAAATAATTAGATGATTAGATAGTAAAAAGGCATATATTGGATTGAATAAAATATGTAATTGCCAATATTTCAGTTGGCTGAACGCCAACCTTTATCGAGGAATTACTAATGCCTTCTAACTAACTACAAACTAATGCCTCGATAAAGGTTAGCGTTCAGCCAACCGAAATATTGGCAAATAAATATTTTATTCAATTCAATATATGCCTTTTAACAATCTAATCATCTAATTATTTGGAGCAAGTTTTTTCCATTTGATATATTCCAATTTTATTATGATAAATTAGCGCGCCATCTGTTATCAAAATTCGAAACTATTATAGACGAGTATGATTCTTTTTTTTTTTAATAAACAATTTCTACTGTCCTTACTGTAATGGAAAATGCCCTCTCATTAATATTTCCATTGCAGTAAAGACAGTAGAGATGGTTTATTTTAAAAAAAGAATCATACGCGTCTATAATAGTTTCGAATATTCCAATTTGCTTTAAAGCTTTATATTGACTATATCAAGTGAAACACAATGCAATTTAGCAGTGCAGTTAAGTGTTTTATGGATATATAGTCACACCAAACAACGTGCCGTTTTTCCTGATGACGTGACATATGACGTGACTCACCCTCCATTAGACCATCGCCAGGGTAAATGATGGAAGAGAGGGTTTGCAACCATCAGAGGTGAGGAGAATGTCTCTTTTTATTCATAATAAATCTTCCATTTTAACCTCACTCCCTCCATTTTTAGAGTTTTAAAAACTTTCACTTTATATATAAAATTCGAAATACCATTATGTTAAATGGTGAATATAATTAAGAGAATGGAACTGTTCAATTATATTTCTTTTCAAAGTGGCAATTTTTGCAAAATGCAATATAACAGCGGTATGGTAGATTAAACTGGCGAAACCGCTGGGAGGGTTCACCACTGATGAGCCAGGCCCTCCCTTTAATTTTTCCATCGCAGTAAGGACAGTAGAAATTATTTTATTTTAAAAAGAATATTACGCCTCTTAAATAGTTTTATAATTTGATAACAGATGGCGCTCTAGTACATCGTAACATTATGTTCTAATAAAAGACACAATTTGATATTTGCGGAAGAGCGATTGCTCGAAGCATATTATATATTTATAATTATATTTAATTCTGCTGTCCTGAAAGCTTATGTCCATAGTTCTTCTAAAATACCCATTCCAAGAGTCTTACAAGAGTCACCTATAAAAGGAAGTTCCAAAAATGCAATATAACAGCGGTATGGTAGATTAAACTGGCGAAACCGCTGGGAGGGTTCACCACTGATGAGCCAGGCCCTCCCTTTAATTTTTCCATCGCAGTAAGGACAGTAGAAATTATTTTATTTTAAAAAGAATATTACGCCTCTTAAATAGTTTTATAATTTGATAACAGTGGCGCTCTAGTACATCGTAACATTATTGTTCTAATAAAAGACACAATTTGATATTTGCGGAAGAGCGATTGCTCGAAGCATATTATATATTTATAATTATATTTAATTCTGCTGTCCTAAAAGCTTATGTCCATAGTTCTTCTAAAATACCCATTCCAAGAGTCTTACAACAGTCACCTATAAAAGGAAGTTCCAAAAATGCAATATAACAGCGGTATGGTAGATTAAACTGGCGAAACCGCTGGGAGGGTTCACCACTGATGAGCCAGGCCCTCCCTTTAATTTTTCCATCGCAGTAAGGACAGTAGAAATTATTTTATTTTAAAAAGAATATTACGCCTCTTAAATAGTTTTATAATTTGATAACAGATGGCGCTCTAGTACATCGTAAAATAAATATGTATGAATAAAATTTTCATAAAAAGAATCTCAAATATCTCATCAATAAGACGAAATCACCTATACTTTATTGAGAAGAGGAAGTAGGTAGAAATTAAGATAAGGCGTAATTCGATCCCTATTTCTCTAAAAATGCACTGAAAGAAGCTAAATAAAGATATGAACAACGATATATGCATATGAATAAACTATTTCATTAATAGTATCTCAAATATCTCATCAATAAGACGAAATCACCTATACTTTATTGAGAAGAGAAAGTAGGTAGAATTAAGACGAGGCGTAATTCTATCCATCGTTGCATTTACAGGAAAATTAGGTTTAATTCCACCTGGATCCTCCTCGCCAGTCGTGGAATTACCTTTTCCTCGGAGATTATCTTCGCGACAACGGAATTTGCTTAATTTTCTACATTGGTGTTAGTTATTGTTCTAGGCAATTAGATTAGTTGGCCTGAATTTATTTAGACTATTAATGAAAGAGAAAATTGAATTAGTTTGTCTTGTAAAGTGGGTAGCAATTTATTGTAAATAGACGTAACATAGATATAAGATGTTTGATCAATTTTTAAAATTAAATCATTAAAGGTAATGAAGAACATTAACGAGCCTATTCTGGTGGAATATTCTAGTAGTTTTATCGGAGAGAAATAAATAAACTAAAGAAAATTAGAGAAAGTTAAATCAGACAATTAATAATGGGTTTAAAGTGAAAATATCAGGCTTACAGGAAGAAGTTTCTTTGAAAATAAACTTCTCCTTGTGTTAGCCTGATATTTTCATCTTTATATTGATACAGGGATCATTTTGTTGAATAATGAGTTTGTTAAGAAGCGTTTATCGAAATTGGAATCAGAATGTATAGTGTGTGGCCATATAATACCGAGACTAATTCTGTATATACAAGTATTTTATTTTAAATTTATTCATCATTTGTGTTTGCTATCTTCAATATAAATACTCCTCTTCTATCCCATAATATAGTTTGAAACAGTTCTAGAAGCTTTCTTCTTTGAGATTATCCATGACGTGTGCCGCTTTTTCTTTTGCAGCATTTGCTGGTTCAAGCTTTTCAGGCCTCAGTAAAGTTGGGTTCTTCTAATTCATTAACAATATTTTAGATGATAAGTTATAAGCAATGATTCATTACGTGTTATTATAAGCTAGCCTATTCGAATTCATATCAAAGCTATTCATTTCAAGCTCTCTAATAACTTTAATATTAATTGATAGGTCATGCAATGATGATCATATAATCTACATATCAATGGCTATTTTATTTAGTGATGAATAAAAAGTGTTGATTGTTATAGAATGCAGGACGGTGGTCATGGAATCCGCTAAGGAGTATGTAGCAACTTACCTGCTGAAGCAACTAGCTCTGAAAATGGATGGCGCTTCAGCGTCGAACCCATACCCGGGCCTTGCGGCAGGTCGAGCGAGGCGCCGCAAGGAGTAGGCGGGTGCGGAGGTGGCGTGGAAGAGTCGGTCGCGAGCCTGTCCACCCTCGATGCTGATCCTGGTGGTAGTAGCAAATACTCGTGTGAGAACCTTGAAAACTGGAGTGGTAAAGAATTCCATGTGAACATCAGTTGAATATAGTTCAGTCGATCCTAAGAATAAAGAGAAATCCTTTACAAGGGTCGCAATCCAGGGCTGAGAATCGGATGATCGCAATGTGGTGGTTGCTCTACATCGAACGTCACCTTGATCGGTACCTATGTCGCCTTTGGACGATATGATGATTCTGCATTATCTCAACCAGGTTGTGTTTGGGAACAAGCGACCGCAACAACGCTCCAGTTTCAGTTGCCAGTCCCTGGAAGGTCCCTACGAGGGAACCCGCTATTCGCACCGCCAAAGAACAGGATCACGACAGCATCGTTGCGACCTATAGGCGGGATTCCGATCGCAAGTACCAGATGTCCGTACCTATGTTTCCTCTCGTACTGAGCAGGAATACTACGGCAACGACCTTTATCGGTAAAATTATATTTTATTTCAACAAACAAAATACGTTATACCGGCTAGGGATAATTGCGTCGATTAACATTCTTAAACAGATACAGCGATCCATAGGCGGGATTCCGAGCGCACGTACCAGATGTCCGTATCTACGGTTGTCTCATAATGAACAGGAATACTACAGCAACGACCCGTATATCGGTATGATTTTATTTCAACAAACAAAACGCGATAACCCGGCTAGGGATAATTGCGTCGATTAACATTTTTAAACAGATACAGTTATAAAAATATTCTACAAGAAAAAAAAAATAAAGAAAAAAGAAACAATAAGATATACTAGCGTATTAGGAACCTAATCTTTTCAATTTTTAAGTATCTGGTATACTCTAGGAGAAACTCTTAATACTATATTATATTGCGATGAATTAGATTTCATGCTAAATAGTACTTTTATTATTATTTAACATACAATTTAATTCCATATTACACTTAGTTCGGGATTCATATATCATATTGTTTTAACTAAATCTGCAATTTCTGTAATTTTGTTAACATTTCTGATTAGTACAGTGGGATCTCTTTGCCTGAGAATATAGATTTTACTTGTTTTATTGATCACATCCGATTTAATTTATTCTTCCTTCAATGAGTACAGGTCTACTTCACTAGGGGTCTTTATAATTATTGAATTTCTGGAATTTATCACTTTATTTATTCTAATTCGCCGTCCTTCCTCTCTTAATTCTTTTATTCTGTTTGATATCAATTGATATACATCAGATTTAGTTTCATTATACAATGGCGAAGCGACCAATGTGTGTTCTTTGTTAAGATTTTGTTTTTTCTCTATAACTTCTTTAGTGTTTATGCTACTAACAGCTTGAGCATATGCAGACCTATTGGACTGCAAATCGCTCTGGTTTCTTTCAAATATTTTGTCCATGATATTGGTAATTGAAGCTGACATCTGATCAATTAGATTCTGATTGTTTATTTATTTAAGGGCTATGATTCCGTCCTTATTTTGTTTATCCATTATTGATAAAAAAAAAGAAATATCATTTTTAGTTATATTATTTTACCTTATTGATAAATCTTTTTAAAATATTCAAATATTTCGTCGAATTTTACATTCAATGTTTGAACAATCACATCCAGTGTTAACTTAACCTAGGATATTTCCATTTTGCATATCTATATAGAGGCGTGAAATTTGCATACGTAGTTAATGAAATTTCAAAGTATGTAAATTAATCCAATAGATATAACAGAGATAAATGTATCAACATATTAATATGTTTATATTAATATAACTTGAATTAATCTTAATATCTAAAAAACAATAAAATATAAAACAAATCTAAAGTAATATTTACCGGAATTCGCGAAGCGATGTAACACACGTCTACTCAATCCGACCACCTGGTGGCAAAAGAAAAGTACCAGTAGGATAAAACTATCAAACCTATTTCGATTGAAAATATAAAAAGAGTATTCATGAAGCATAGTGTTGATATATATAGATTTTACTATATTTATCTGAAACATACCTATCACCAAAAAAAAGTAAATTATTAACTTTTATTTCTAGTATAAAAACACAAAATATAATAAAATTTCATTATAAAATAAATAAATGCATAAATAAATAGTGCTAGATATATATATATATATATATTTTTTTTTTTTTCTTTTGCTTATTCCTAGTACACGTGGTAGAGGCCATGATAATCATGGTGGATAGAGGTCAGCGACTGCTTTTACTGTAAGTGCACCACATGTCTACACATGTGAAGAACAGTTCGACTTTGCACTTACAAATGTGTCAGAGACACGTTTGGTTATACTTGCACTCGCTGGTGGGGTTGGACCTTTGCAAGAATCGGGGGTCATTGGAGCTTTTTTTTAAATCAGAAAAAATTGCCCAATGTGGGAATCGAACCCGGGTCGTAGCGGTCGAAAACCAACAGTTTAGACCATAATTCTACGACCCCAGATATATACCCTAGATATATATGTAGAATAGCGCAATTTACTTTCAGAGATTTTCGTGATTAAATAAATTGGCGATATATTTGGGAGGGTTCAACACTGATGAGCTATATCAACAACAACAACAAAGGCTTTATTAAGACCTTTTAGTCTTATACAGATTCTCCAAGCAGAAATATAGGATACATGAAGGAGAAACAGTGATAGAACTTAATGGTAACATGATATTTATATACAGGGAAAATGATATAAAGACTATCAAGCTAATAGATTATCTGGGCAAATTGGAGGCAAAGAAAGTTACTATACATGGATTCACCACCTCGTGTTAGGTCTTGTGGAGTTTTTTGGTAGCAGCTCTGAGACTTTTCTTAGCTATGTAGAACTTGATGAGCTATATCTATCCTAATAGCTTTCCATTGCAATAAGTATAATATAAAGTTATAACTACATCAACAAATAATACTTCCAAGTCGTTCCGCCAAGAGATCAACACCACAGAGGTCCGTACGTCTCTTGACCTCACGGACAATACAGCAGCTACTGCAACGTCCCAATCAATGTCCCATATACTAGATGACTGCCCGCTGTACAAATTCAATGGAGGAATCTCCAATCTCCATTCTGTCACCCCGGAAGCCCTGAACTGGCTGAAGGACTTGCTTCTCAGACTTTAATGACCGATATGTCCTCACTTCTTTTTTCTAGATTTAATTCATTTTGTCTCCTCTCTAATTGTAAATACGCTGCTGTATCACCTCATAAGCATAAATAAAGTAACCAGCTGTCTCTCTTCTCAGAGGAATGGTTCCCATCCTCCTTCCCCTGAGGAAAGCGAGTCACTGATATGTCGGGATAATTAAATATATTATTTGATAAAATAATCCCTTGAATCAATATTAAAAATATAAAGTCTCCAGGGAAAAGTTTCTTTAAAAATAGTTTTCATTTTAAAATATCTCGAGCTTTCGGACAAGTAAGCCCTTCTACGGGAGAAAATATTTTACATCCTTAATACGCCAATAAAATAAGATTTTAGACGAAAAACATGGTGAAGGAAGACGTAAGGCGAAAGCTGAGAAGTGTCCACTTAGAGACCATGGTTTCGGGCTAATGGCCTTGGTCAACCCAGGGCGGACTTTAATTCCATGAGATCCACAAAGGACCTAATGGAATCTTCCAAATCTGCCAAAGAGGTGTTTAGCTGCCAAAGTTGCTAGGCCAATCTATGATCAAAATATAAATAGACGTTCAAAAATAGTTTTGACGAGAGAGGCGCCCAATAATTTTATAGATACATTTATTTCTTGTAAGTCGAGCTTCATTGCTCGCCTGTTGAAGGGTTTTTACCCGAAAGCTTGCACCTATGCATCAATAAAAAAAAAACTCGTCTTCCTTCACCATGTTTTTCGTGTAATATAATTCAGGAAGAATTCTTTATCTATATTTGCAAAATAAGATTTAAAATTAAATGATTATATCAACCAAAGGACTATATTTAATTTCAAATCTTATTTTATTGGCGTATTAAGTATGTGAAATATTTCTCCCTTAGAAGGGCTTACTTGCCCGAAAGATCGATATATTTTTAAATAAAAAATATTTTAAAAAAATCTTTTCCCTGGAGGCTTTATGTTTTTATTCTTAAATATATTATTTTTTGATGTAGCTTTATATCTTCCAAACCAACTTCAAACCAACAAATATGATCTTAAAATATATAAAGTTATTCATACACAGTGTATGTGGCAATTTTGACAATTAAACAATTTTATTGACATCTCGTCAACGTTTACACTCACAAAGAGTTATAAGAGCAAGTTAAATATGATAAAAATATAATGATAAATAAATATTTACATTTAATATTTACATCAGGCGGAGCCCTCACTGAGGGGACATCTGGATTTCATCAGGAGCTTAAGTCCACCCTGAGTTCAGACAATCCCTCGCGAATAATGGAATCGCAGTCACGAGCATGCTCGATGGCAGTGTCGAGGAACTTAGCAAGATCCCGCGAGTGGCGAGCCCTCGCGCGTTGATGGTGGTGACGCGGAAACTCAGTGTGTGTGTGTGTTGAATTATCTCCCTCCGCTGTAAGCTTTCGGAACAAGCTTTTTCGGAGAACAAACACCGGACAACACAAGGCAAACGGCCCGCAGCAACTGAAAGTGCGCGCCGTTTGTGAGGGAACCAAGGCAGCACCAAGCACACCTAAGGCTCCGCAGGCTTCAAAAATAAGGGATCATTTCAGAGATCAAGATCAGGAGATCAAGACCCATAGATTAAAAGGTCTGGCTTTTATCTTTAGCGAGCCCCCGTTGGGACTAAACTCAGTGTGTGTGAAAGTTATTTATATGAAAACAAGAAAAACGCTAAATAATTCCACTTTCTATCTATAGATGGCGGGGTAATGCCTTACGTTTTAAAAAGAAACAGTATTGTTATATATGTAGGTTATTGAGTTAAGTATAATCAAACCTTCAGAGAAAAAGTATATTTTCAAAAAAATCTTATTTTCTAGCTTTCGGTCACGGACTCCCTTCCACAGGAGAAAACTTTATTGAATATGTATGTGTGTGTTATATAAAAATTATTTATTAATATTTCGACAATAATAATTTCTAGAATAAAATACTCTGTAAATTTGACCTCCAGAGTGAAGTATTCTTCATACTGAAAGTACATCAATAATAAATAGTAGAAGTGCCATAGAATAGCAATACAGATGAAACACATAAACTACAGGAAAAAAAGTGTGTAATGGCAAAAATTGTATTATATTAGTGTTTAGGTATTTGATTTAATTATTTTTTTGCAATCCATTTAGTTGTTTCAAAATGAATAATATAAATGAGTTTTAAAAATTGCAAAAAAAAAATGCATCGGCCGGGAATCGAACCCGGGCCGGTCGTGTGGCAGGCGAGCATTCTACCACTGAACCACCAATGCTTATAAGAAATGGCCATATTTGGGTATTTATTCTATTCACAAAAGTAAACAATGACAGAATTGATTGTTGATGACTCTGATACTTGTATATTTTAATTGTTGTTGTTTCCCGTTGGCCGGCTCAAATCTTTCTGTAGGTATGTAAATATATTGAAAATAGAGCAATCCATAAATAAATCTTCAATAATAATTAATTCAATCTTCACAATAATTATAAATTTGTTGTTGACATACATTAAATATGTTATAACACCTTGATAAATGTTGGCGTTCAACCAAATGAAATATTGGTAAAATAAATGATTTTTTGATCCAATATATGCCTTTTTATTTGAATATGTAAATATGTAATATTTTATTTTCTTCTATACGCTTTAATTCAGGTAGTAATCTCTCAAATTATGCATGTTATATTCTTCATTAGCACAATTAAAGCTAATTCTGATTTAAACTATTATGATTAATTATTACGACAACTGCAATATCATAAACATACTTATGTATCCTCAAATCAAGAATATAATTCCATTCTTAATCACAAATTTATTATAACATGAATATAAACAAATTTTCTTTATGAAATCTATCAAAATCGTTGACACACGTATATAATATCAGTTAAGTGGAGTATAGTTTACTGTTAGAATAACGTTTTTTTTGCGGAATAGCATTGCCTGAAAATCATAAAATCCCTCCAATTCTGTTGTGGAAATCGGCTTAAACCTTACCAACCATTTTATTTGTTCAGTAAAGAAAGCCTATTAAAGAATTTATAAGGTTACATCCCAAACCTTTCCACATTGTTTCCTTTCATGAACTCCGGTTTTTTCTCTCTCTCTCTCTAAATGTTGGATTGATTATTGATTTTCAAAAGTTATTGTATAAAAAATCCATTTCGTTTATTAAATTGTTTCGTACGATTTAATAAATATTTTTTTCTAAATAAATGAGAAAAATGTTTTAACTTTTTTTTGTGTTTTGAAAATGAAATTTTAGTTTGTGAAATATTTTATTAATAAATATGGAGTGCGTGTTAAGAAAAAAAAAAGAATTGAAATTAATTATACTAAAAATTTAAATAGCAATATATATTTTTTATTTTTTACGTTATTTTGTATAAACTATATATATATGTATATTATAAATTATTTATCTGAATATATTCAATCTAATTATGAGTGTAAACTGAAATATTTGTAAAGAAAATTCACATACACACACTCAAAATATACTAATATATAATTCTCTATCTAACTGCTGGAATAGAAATGGAAAATTATAATAAAGGTATAGGACGCCTCACTCGTCAAAATAAACGTCAACCCTAGACAGCATCTATTGCAGTCGCCAAAAATTAGCGGTTTCGGGTTGGTGACAAAGCCACAACATCAACTTTAGCAAGCTGAGAAGTGTCCACTTAGAGACCATGGCTTCGGGCTAATGGCCTTGGTCAACCCAGGGCGGACTTTAATCCATGAGAGGGATTTTATTGGAATCTTCCAAATCTGCCAAAGAGGTGGTTGGCTGACAAAGTCGCTGGGCCATATCTATGGCCAAAATATAGATATAGGTTTAAAATAATAGTTTTGACGGTAGAGGCGCCCAATTATTTTATAGATAAATTGACTCTTGGCAAATTCCCATATACATGTGAATATACATCAATCAAGGATAATTGCAATAAGTTTCTTTATTAAGTTAGACGGTAAGCTTATAAGAGTTAGCTCTCTCATCATCAGGCCAACTGTTTTGCAAATACCTACAATATATCATAGTATATTGTTACATCAATGTTAATGCGCCTTACATTTATTCAAAATATTCTATGATATTTAATATTTATTTAAAACAGAATATTTAGATTATCATCATTCCTTTTTATAGTTTCACTCCTTTTGTAATATTTATTGTACATATATCTTGATTGGTTATTGGAGCGAGGGAGGACCTAGACGAAGACTGCGGATCACGACCTACGAGGAAGACCACGAATAAATAAACACAATAACGTTGAAAGGTAATTTATTTTTATTTACTTTTATTTATTTGCTTTGAATATGGAAACCTGTTCGGGAAACGTGTATAACACCAAGAAGGAAGAAACCAAGGTCGACGACCCTGCAAAGCTGCAACTTGGTCCAAAAATATATATACTTTCAGGACTACGTGAAAACTTTCTCCATTGAATATTTAAAAATAGAAATGAAAATTAAGGAGAAAAGATTTTTATTCAGATAAACGTGTGACAAGCTTTCGGGCAGTCACGCCCTGTGACCTGTTGAAGGGCGTGACTGCCCGAAAGCTTGTCATACGTTTACCTGAATAAAAATCTTTTCTCCTTAATTTTCATTTCTATTTTTAAATATATATACTTAATATTTATATTAATGTAAACATTTATATCATTGAATTAAAATGGAAATAAGACTTTATAAATAGCAACAATGGAGGTTGGTGGAACAGTGATACAAACCTTCAATTTTCGACAGTCGGGACCCGGGATCGAACCCCGCATTGAGAACTTTTTTTTCTGAAGAAAATATTGCTTCAATGACCCCCCATTCTCTTGAAAAACTCCAAGCCAATGGTAAGTACAAGTAATCAAACAGAGCTATTGCACACTTGTAAGTTCAAAAGTCCAATTGTTTTCTAAATGTGGTGCACTTACAATATGAGCAGTTCCTAACTACCCACCACAAATATTCCATGACCTATAAAAAAGATAAACGGAATTAAAATATAAAAAATATGTATTAATTAACACTTATATTTTATTGTAAATCATATTTGACGATAATTCTAGGAGATTTTATTGCTGATGAACCAGAAACTCCCAATATTTATCATCGCAAAATGGACAGTAGGAAATTGTTTTATTTGAAAATTAAAAACATCTGAATAGTTACACTTTGATCTTATTCAAAAGGCCGAGAAGCGATGTCTGAATAGTTTTATACTATAATACAGATGGTGTGATAGTATTTCTTATATCATATCATAAATACAAATTTATGGGGGGGGGGGGAGAAGTCCGACCACACCTCCCTGCGGTCCCCCCTGGACCCTTGGAATATTCGAACAAATTCTGGTTCGTTTCCAAGGTGACTAACGTAGCAACGGCACCCATTTTCCAATGTAGAGCAAGCTTTATACACCCAAGATAGTGGATAATGCTGCTGCTGTAATGGAGAGAGAGAGAGATGCATGGAGACATCTGAGGCTCTTCTTTAGACACGACAACAACAACAATACAAATTTAGTGAAAAATACAATTCGTATCACTAAATTTGTAACATAAAGAATAACTGGGTAGAAAAATATACAGATTTAAGGGTAAAGCTAACTCACTGAATAATGTAAATTACGCAATGACGCGTTCATATCATAAAACTAATATTTCAAATATTTTTATATATAAGCAATAGAATACATTCATTTTTCAACGTAAAATAAAAATAATTTCACAAGAAAAATAAATACGAAAGAATCACAAACCCAATTTATTTATATATCAACGAGAAATATAAGAAAAGTAATTTTATATTCAAACAAAAAATAAATAAAGTTAGCTAGAAAAAAAAGCTATTTCAATTCCTTCAAGAAAATGTATATATATTATATTTATTTTACTATTCTCTATCTATTATAAGGAAGTAAAAATCTATTTGAATGTCACATAGTGTCCACCAGAGGGATCTGTGTGTGAATTCCATTCTCTAATAGAAAAGTAAATAAATAGAGTTTGACCTCTCACAAAGAAACCAAGTAGATTCCCTATAGAGCAGGCTTCGAGGGACCTCCATAATTCTGCCTGTCAATAGCCAATAAGAAGGCTCCACGTCATACCCTCCCAACTTATCGCCTTCATAAAGTTACCTCAGAGGGATTAGCATATCTTTTGGCTTTCTTATCAAGATATATTAGCCATCGTTGGCACCTTAGTACCGTTAGAATAATGAAAAGGACACCTATTTCTTACTAATTGATAAAACAATCAATCAATAAAATTCGTTGAAAAGAAACACATGCGGTATAATTTTCAAATGTCGTTTTACAATCACAAGCCGTATTATATTTAATTATAAATTACTTTATGTATATTATTTACGAACAGAAAATTATGTCCAGGGTAGCCTAGTGGACATGACATCTGCCCGGTAAGCGGAACACTGTGGGTTCGATTCCCATCCCTGGACACATCTATTTTTCCGTTTATCATTACTCTTCACAATTCATCCTTTCATATCTCATCCCAAAGGTTGGAAATAATTATTGTTTCTCCTTAAAATAAATTTGGATTTATTGTTGAAAAGAAACACATGCGGTATGATTTTCAAAATAGTTGAATGTTAGATATTAAGTGATAAAAAATGAAGCAAATAATCAATAAAATAGTTAAATGTAAGAAAAAATATTAGGTCATAAAATATTAATAACATCTTCTAAGCGTGCAAATGAAAGTTGCTCATGGCTTGTTCCACACATCTATCTGAATGTATATCATTTTTTAATATTCATTCTGCCAATGATCTTAAACATTTCAACTTTTCTTCTATTTTTCATATAGTTTTGCCTTCCAACGCACCTTTGATCTTAAATACCCATTGTATGGGAGTCTTAAGACAGGACATATATTCCACTACCCTACTAAGATTGTAAATTCAATCCATGATATTTTCCAGGATCCATGACCTTGTATAACCATACACACAATGGAATAATAAAACATAATTTGTATATGTAATAATTGGATATAAGTTGTGTCCTGTCTCACCACAGTGATAAAATATCCAATACGTTTACCCGGTTTAATCTACCAGACCTATTTACAGCTATATCCACTCATTGACAAAAGGAAGTTGTACCTTTTAGTATGTATATCGGGATACAGACAATAACTCTGAAAGATATCACAGTGACCTTTTATGAAGTCACACGAGATAACCAAGTGTGAACAAAATTGCCTCTGACTCCTTCAAAAAAAAAAAAAAAATAGAAGA